CAAACGATAAATAACTGACCAGGCGGCTACTTTCAATTGAAGAATTCTGCAAACAACTACTTGAGACTGCAAAGTTAAGCTACAATCCGAACTAACACAATTGGCGACACTAGAATGACGATACCTTACCCTAGGACAGTCGCTAATCTTCGTCAACCTGAGAAACCCTTCGTCATATCCAAACAGCGGTTTTTCGCGACATCGTACACTTTACCACGGACAAGAACCGCCTCCTGCCATAAAAGTCACCGTGCTCCACCGCTCGAAGGATGCCTCCTTGGAAAGAAAAGTGCTAGAGGCACTCGCTATCAAGCGACTGTCTCCAGAAATAAACAACAGAGAGGAACTCATAGAGGCAATGAGACTAATAAGTTAACGGTGTATATATGCGAGCACAGTGAAAAGGAGTCACGTACTGCTCATTCTGAGTACTTTTTTTGGTTAGCGATTATATTCGATTTCGATTTTCGCTGTTATATCAGCGAAAGCTCACCAATAAAGCTTGAAAAGAAAGAGTCCTCAACAACTACAAAGATTTGCTAAAGAGAAAATATTCAACAAATGAGGCTCAGGGGTAACTCCATTTTACAATAACGATATCGTTAACATCTATATATTTTTTGGATAAAAGCTGAGTTAGAGCGAACGGTGCCAGGTGGGTAACTTGTAGCACACTTGCCCAGTAAACGAGCAGTTCGAGTCCTGTCTGGGAAGATAGCTTTACTCATAAACCAGTACTCTAGTCGCACATTCGCAAGGCGAACTGCGAACAAAAAAATAGCAGTTAACAGCCAAGAACAAGTAAAAAATATCAAGAATACTGCGAATCTTCACTCAGTGTTTCAATAGAATTGCATGTATTTTGGAAACAGTTGCAATAATTTGTCACTAACGAAAAAGTGATCTGAATCATTTAGTTTTGCCCTTAAAAAGTATTGCCCTATTTAATATTTCATCAACCCACCTTTGAAGGAAGTGAAACCTCGATTTATAATAAAGGATAAAAGGATAAAGCATTTGCCGTTGATCAATCCCTTTTTGGGATGCGGCACGCATTCTACTTCCATTTGTACATTCGTAGTGGCGTTTGAATGCGATGTGGCCTATACAATGACTTGCGGGGGCCAGCCGATGTACAAGTCAGTGTTTTTATCCTCCCAGACAAGTCTGGTACCAATTAACCGACCCCGGAGGGATGGAAGGCTTGGTTGGCCCGGGCGACTCACGACCCAGGATTTGA